AATTTTAGTTGCTGAGGAAGTCTCAAATAGAGACGAAACGTTCAACGGATAAATGTATTGTTCATCTAAATTAAACTTGTCCAAAAAATAACTTCCCTAAGAATTAAACTTAGTAATGTCTTTTTATGTTTGTAAATCGCATTCTTTCGAAGAATAGATTTTCAAACTATTACAAGTGTTACTAACTACAAAGGCAATTACGATTAAAGTATATAAAAATATGATAATTAAGTATAATATATAAATATGATAATGAATAAATTCGTAGACAAAATAGAAAAATATTATTAATTAGGAGAATCCAAGAAATACAAGACAAGAATATTTCGATCGATTTTGTTTCTTTATGAATTCTTTTAAGATGTGATCGATTTGTATAATAGGTAGTGGTAGTAAAGTTCCTGAATAAATTTTCCTGTGACATATAAGATTTTGTTGAGCGAACGACTTGCTATAAACATCACAGGTGTAAAATTCGTTCGTTGGTATGTAGGAGAAGATGTTGGTTGAAACTACTATGTGTAGTAGAAGCTTTGCTCACGAAGATTATAATTTTCAAAAAAAGTTTTTCTACATTCTTCACAAACCGATTTTTCTTCTCTCTCGTGTTGAATCAAAACATGTTAGTCCAGGTTTTCCTTGGTGACCAATCGCCTATGACACATTGGATATTCAAACTTTGCCCTATAATGAACATGTTTCCGATGAATATACGAACTACTGTTTTTACAAACTTTCCCACAAACGTCACATATCACTGGTAACTCTCGATAAATTTAGTCTTGTATGTGTCATAAGATCACTTTTGATTTTAAATTTTTTGCTACAGTATTTGCAGAAGTAACATAATGTTAAGTATGGTTTCATACAAAGAGTGACCATAGCATTTCTTTTCTTGCCCATACCAAATCACAAACGATACAAACAAATTTACGTTTCTTCTAGCAACTTTCACCTTCGCCCGTTATACCATCTCCATTATAATTCTCCGCCAGATAAGCGATCATGGTCGATCTTTTGTTGCATCTGAAGTCACATATCACATAAGTCAATGCTTCTTGATTTCCAGCAAAATCTGAAATGTCCTTCGTTGAAGAAAATTGTACTAATTATTCTTTAATGTCAGTCTATGTTTTCATAAAGAATATTCGTTTCCCAACTCTCTTATGTAATTATAATAAGATATTTGCTCTGATTTCTTGTCTTTTTTTGTTTAATTTAATATGTTTAAAATGATCAGTTCTTTTTTAAATACTATTTTGAAGTATTTTTGTGTTTTTCAAGTGATTATTATTTATTTGCTTTGATGTATCTCTAAAACAGAAGAGAGAGTACAACAAATTTATGATGATTTTATTCTAATAGCAATCTCCGATCTATAATTACTTACTTTCATAGTAATAATTAACGAAGATCATAATAGAAATGATCTCATTCCCTGAATTAAGGGCTGCTTGATTGTTTTTTGAAAAAATATTAGGTATTATATTAAGGTATTCATTCTTTTATTTTTTTCTTACTTTGTTTTCTATTTACGGTAATAAACAAATAAAATATGATAAATAATAGCAAGTAAATATATTATTGTACACGTGATAATAATAATAATGATGCTTCATTTTTCACATTTGCATCTTTTTCTCATCATTTGTAAGATTCTTGAATGATTATTTTCGTTGAAGTCATTCATAATTTTGTCAGTCACTCTGAAACAAAATTTGTCTAATATATATCTGTTGTTAAAATAATATATAACATTAAAAAATTACTTACATTTCCCAAAAACCACTTCTAAAGCCAAAGAAAATAAGCTGTAACATTCTTAAAACTAATTAGTATCAGTTTTGTTGTAAAGTTTTAATAAAAAAAACTGTTTATATATACATAAAAATATATTTTACTTACCATAAAAATAAATTTTAAGAACTTATTTGTTGTATAAAAAACCGCATATTTTATATCTTTTTAAAATCATACTTTATTAAAAACGTCTTGAATTAATTTTCATACTAATTTGTATAATTACTAAAATTAAATATGTTATAAATTTAATATAATAATATTTCTTGTTACCATAGAAATTACAATCAATCAATTAATATATATTATAGCTCATTAAATTTACAAATAATAATAATGCCAAATCCTTGCTTTTTATGATCATATAACTTAGCTTTTCTCAAAATACAAAATATGAGAAAGACTTATATAACTGAAGAAAAACAGTAATTTTAAATACTTGAAATATGAATATATATCAAATATAAAACTAATTTTTTTTCACCCTAAATAAAAATCCTTTAGTATAGTTAAATCTCATATTGCTTTACATCTGCCTTAAACATTGCAATCTTCGAGAACTATATTAAATATTAAATAGTTCATTGTTTTAGAAACTAAGTACGATGGACTGTATTTTATCTTATAAATTATTATCAATCCTTTTTCATAAAATCGCTAAGTATGTGTTTAATGTGTACAACCGGTAAGGGTGGATGAATTCCAGGATGAGACTTCCGATGACAAATCAGTCCAGGTTTCTGTGTGAAGGCCTTACCACAAATATCACAGATATATGGACGTTTTCCTGTGTGTATAAGAAGGTGTTGTCTGTAAGCAGTACGACGAGCAAACGCTTTGCCACAAATGTGACAATCATAAGGTCTATCTCCTGTATGAGTCATCATATGTTGTTTCAATCGATGATTTTCAGAAAAGGATTTTCCGCATTCTTCACAAACGAAACTTTCACGTCGTTCGTGCTGAAGAAGTATATGCTGATCAAGATTTTCTTGTGTCACCATTCTTCTCTTACAAATCGCACATTCATATTTGGGCTTGAAGTGAGCCCACTTTTGATGGACGTACAAGGAGTTACTGTTGGAACAAGTTTTACCGCAAACGTCACACACTATTGGGCCTTCTTTATGCTTGAAACGAACATGTAATCTCATATCTCCTTTAACTTTGAACTTCTTACCACAAAATTCACAATCATACTTGTATTCTGATGCATGCTTACGTTCAAGATGTTCCTTTAAACGTCTTCGAGTCTGACATTTGAATTCACATACATCACAAGCATACTCTTCCTGTTCCAAGAGAATTCCACGATTAGTTTTTCTTCTACCAGTTCGACGAGTTGAGTGTTTTCTACTAATATGAGAATAGAGAGTAGATTTATTTGTACTCTCGTAATTACAATAATTACACATATACGTTAGGCTCTCCACGTCATCGATGTTCTCTTCTTGCTCAGGTTTATGTTCTAAGGCTACATGCATCTTGAAAGCTATCAAACTACGACAAATTTTGAAACAGACTTTGCACTTGTATCGCTGGGCTTGTTCA